ATAGCCAAAAGCAGCCACGACTTATCTGTAGATAAGGAAATATCTGGGTTTTTTCCTTTACACAGTTCAACCCAAACCCATCCCTAGATAATTCTGAAGACTGATAGCAATTGGAGGGCCTATGGAACTTCATATCCAACTATTTCCTCACTGCAAGGGAACCAAGGAACTGAGAAAAAATATTGAAAACTAGGATTGAACTTTTCCCGCAAATTGGTTTAAATCCTCCTTGATTGATGTCAATGAGCATCTCTGATAAATGGAAGAGTGATTATAGCAAATTAAATTAATTTTCTTTCAAAAAACCTAGGCAGCTCAAATCTCTTATTCTTATGAATTTGTTGGTTTATAGATTATTTATTTTATTGTATTTATAAAATAATACTTGGCCACAGGTATGTGTGGGTATAAGAAAAGAATTGTTTTTTTTTATCTCAAAGATGTGTTCTTTTTTTTTAATTCAAACTGAAACATCTCCGGTTCTTAATTTTTCTGAACTATGTCTTCTGGGGACACTACTTGCATCCATCACCTACCATTCCAGTGGTAAGAGGACAGGACATGGTGGATTCTGATATATTAGAGTTCCATTGCTTTTGGAAAGGATTTTATTCAGTATAAACTTCACAAAAGGAAAATTTTCCAAAGGGAAATAAAATTTTCCTAAGTGATCTATGTCTCAATCAAACGCTCTAATAGATAGAATCTAACAAGTTGCATTGGGACATCAGAGATATTTTTCATGGATTCTACAATCCCCTGTACTAACTTTTTAACATTCCCCACAGACTTTCTGTACCATGTTTCTGGAATCTAGCTTCTCAGCTTGTTTGCATGAAGTTATTTATTTGCAATAGATTGTGGATTCAAATTCTTTGTTTTTATTGCAACTCAAAAGTAGTAAGGGGCCCAGGCCACAATAGAGGGAAAAAGGATGAATATCAGAAGTTAGTGCAAAGTTCCAGTAGCGTACTGAATCTACTTCTCCTAGTCGATAATGAATTCACTTATGTGATTCTGGGGTTGGAGCAATCTCATTAATCATGAAATATCAGGGGAATTTAATTGTTATTATCTTGAAAGATTATGACTTGCTTTTGTTGAAGTTTCCAGTGTTTATCCTGAGTGTTGTCATCATGGCTCTTTCCTATTCCCCTGAAAACATCTAACTGAGATCTTGAGAGACTGGAACAGATAAACCTTGGTTCCCTTGCACTGAGGAAGTAGTTGGAGATGAGGTTCCATAGACCCTCCAATTGCTCTCAATCTTCAGAATTACCTAGGGATTAGTTTGTGTTGAATTGTGTAAAGAATAAAACCTGTGTCTCATCTGTGTATCAGTGAAGAAGTCCTTGATTCCTACCTTGGTCCTTATTTGCCTGGGCAGTAAGTGCTCCTGAAATTGAAATTCTCCTCCAGTAGCTGCTGATGGGAGCTGAATTTCTAGCCCTAGTTTGCATTCACTTTTCCTATTTCTCTGAGAATTGTATGTCTAACAAACTAGACAAGAATGGGACTAACAACACTGTAAGTATCAATGTCTCTTTCACTAGGTGATGGCTTGTAGGTTTATTGGGTGATACAGGGTGGTATAAATCACTAGTCCTGAGATGGAGACTAAGAAGCTACTTCTGAGTAGCCCCAATCTCAGGCTCTGATTCTGGGTTCATAGAAGTTGGGCTAGGATTGTAGGCCCTTCCAAGAACTGATTCTCATGACCATGCTATAGCTATGGCGGTGGTGATATCCCAGGACTTTTGGAGTCAGTGATGGAACAAAGAGGGGTCAGAAAGCCATATGGCCAGAGCATGGACAGCAGTGGCTTCCAATAGCAGGGTGATATGCTGCGATCAACCCAAATTGAGTCATGAGAGAAGTCCCTTTAGAAACTAGTCTGCCCTAACCTTTTCAGTTCTCCTGGCCCCAGTACATCTAAGAAGCAAAACCTTTGAACAGTTACTAGACCATTGAAGTCTGCTATCATTCTTCTCTGATAAGAGATGAAATAACCACTCTAAGAATACATGAAGTAAGAAAGTGTCAGATGTTAGCTGTGGATGACTTGGGCTTTGATTCTTTTTGTCCCTATCAAATTGATAGGTTCTGAGGTATGAAAAAAAAAACTGTTCAGAATTGGATTTCTTCCTCATGTTTCTTTATCAGCTCTCCTACTCATTCTACATCTATCCTCAAATCATAGTCATTTCCTCTCACAAGATTGAATGTTCCTTGGAATCAATTTCTTTCTTACCTATCTTTGTATTTTCATTTTCTATTGGAATATCTTGGACATGAGAGATGTTAACAAATAATTGTTGAATGGAATTGTATTGTATCAAATTCATTCTCTAAACCTAAGTTATTTAGTGACAGAAAATATCATGGGAAAGTAGCAAGAAAATATAACAAAATGGAGAATCAAATTGTGATGCAAAAAAAAAATACAATTGCTTCTGCTATAATGCTTGTTTTGATTTGGTCAGTGACCAATAGAAAATTGGGTCCAGCTAAACCATTGAACACAAAACACACATACCTCAAACCCCTACCAACTACCTCAATTCACTGGTTGTGTTGGCTTTCAATACTGGATAACACCACTTCATAGTAACTCACAAGATACAATCTTTCCCATGCCCACTTCCACAGTTAAACTTCAGGTGTTTGTTAAGGTAAACTTTAACATTTATTATGTATCTTCTTGTACAGTAGGAGCTATTGGTAGAAGAGAAAGGATAGTCCATACCATACCTACTCCCAGATCCACTGCCTTCCCCTTCCCATAATACCTCCAGCCTTAGGCCCAATATTGTGACCTGATTGCACAACTTGTTCTTCCTTGCTGAAGGCCTTGGACACCACCACTTTTTATTGTCATACTTATATATTTCTAAATCATTTAACATGTATAAAACTGTGCTACCATTTTATTAGGTTTCTGTCTTTTATATGTGTCATTGAAAAGTTTTTGAGTGTTTTTCTCCTAAGCTCTGTAGTTTTTATTGCACCATTTTGTACAGCACAGTGATTTTTAGGAACTTGTTAAAGCAAAACTGACAGTATTCAGAAATCTGAGAATGAAACTAATCCCTAAATAAAGTTACAAAACATGAATCAAAAATTAAGTAACTATGTACCAGGTACTGTGTTATGTTCTGAGATTGCAAGTACTGCAATAGCCCCTGCTTTCAAACAAGTTCATGTTGTAATAGAGAAAGACAGAAAATGTATGGAAGTAGCAGCCAGCTAAGAGAGTTTTGGTCTAGTGATTCAGAAAAATGGTGAGCTGATGTATAGTATTATAAATTAACAAATAATTTCCAGAATCAATGGCAGCCAAAGGAAGAGGTGGAAGGAGGAGAAAGGAAGAGGAAGGCAAATAAAATGGCCCACCTGTAGGGATATACATACACACATATTCATATATATGTGAAAATACAAATATGTGTGTGTATATATATACACACACACAAACACATATGTATATATAATTAAATGCTAATGATCCTTTTTCTTGCTTTTTCTTTTCATTTTGGTAATTCTATTAATAATTATTTTGTGCCCAAGAAGACTCTGCCAAAAAGAAAGGAACAAGAAAAGAAATAACCCTTGAAAAATATATACATCATTACACAGAACAAGTCTCCAATTGGCTATATCTGTCTCATTCTTCAACTTAAGTCCATCACTTCGTTGTCAGGATGTGGGCAGCATTTTTCATGACTAATTTTATGGAATCAAGGTTGACATTGATCAGAATTCTTACATATTTCTTAGTTGTTTTTTTCACAATGACATTGTTGTTACATACTTTTTGCTCTGAGTTATGCTTACTTCATTGGATCACTTGATACAAATCTTCCCAAGTTTATCCAAAATAATTCTTTTAATCATTTTAAGATGAAGTGATGTTCCATTAAAGTCACATACCATAATTCGTTCAACCATTCCCCAGCAGGTGACTAAACCCTTAGAATCTAGTTCTTTATCACCACAAAAGACCTGCTATAAATACTTTTGGCATATAGATACATTTCCTCTGTCTTTGATTTCTTTGGGGTATAGGTCTAGTCGTAGTATTACAGAATTAATAGATAAACACAATTTAGTGACATTTGAGGTATTGTTCAAGTTGCTTTCCAGAATGACTGGATCAATTCATAGCTCCACCAATCATGTATTAGTGTGCCTGTTTATCTACAATTCCTCTAATAAATTTTCATGTTTATTTTTATATTATTTTTCCAATCTGATAAACATGAGCTGGAATATCAAATTTGTTTGATTTTGATTTTTCTATTAGTAATTTTATATTTTTGTATACCTATTTTTTATCTTGGATTTTTTTCTTTGAGTTTTGAATGCTCATATCTTTCACCATTTTTATATTGGGGAAAGACTCATTTTATGATACATTTGAATCAGTTCATTTCATATCTTAGAAATTTGGCTTTTATTAGAGGAATTTGGTAGAAATGTTTTTTTCCCAGTCAACTGTTTCCAATCTACTTAGGATTTTGTTTGTACAAAAACTTTTTAATTTTCTATAATCAATATTGTCCATTTTATCTTTTGGGATCTTTTATATACCTTGTATTATCATGGGTTAATTTTTAACTATAGTTGCAATAAGTATTTCCTTCATTGATCTTCTGAATTTAATATTATGGGACATTTTATTAGATAAGTCATGAATTCATTTGAAACTTGGTATATGATATCAATTCATGGACTAAATTTCTAATTTCTAATTCATGGACTAATTTCTGCCAGACTTCTTTCTGGTTTTCCCAGGAATTTTTGTCAAATAGTGAGTCCTGCCTCCAAGAACTGGGGTATTTGGAAATGAAATTTCATTTGGACAGAAATTGAGTTTTTAAGAATTCAATAATGTCACAGTAAGGCCATTGAAAGTGTTGCACACACCAAATGCATACCATAATGCTCAATATAGACATTTCTCATTTACTGGACTTTGGCAATCTCTTTGTCTCTGTCACAGAAGTATGGCTAACAATCAGACAATGGTGAGAGAATTCATCTTGATGGGATTTTCTGTTGGACCTGACATGCAAATGTTCCTCTTTGGGCTCTTCTCTCTACTATATGCCTTCACCCTAATGGGCAATGGAGTAATCTTAGGACTCATCTCTCTGGAGGCCCGACTCCACACCCCCATGTATTTCTTCCTCTCACACTTGGCCCTTGTTGACATTTCCTATGCCTGTAACACTGTGCCCCAGATGCTAGCAAATCTACTGGATCCTGTCAAACCCATATCATATGCAGGATGCATAACACAAACTTTTCTCTTTTTGACTTTTGCCCACACAGAATGTCTTCTCCTAGTGGTAATGTCTTATGATCGCTATGTAGCAATTTGCCACCCCCTCAGATACACTGTTATCATGAGCTGGAAGGTGTGTATCACTCTAGTATTGATCTCTTGGGCCCTTGGGTACATTTTGGCCCTGATCCATTTATTTTTATTATTGCCATTGCCTTTCTGTGGTCCCCAGAAAGTCAACCACTTTTTTTGTGAAATCTTAGCTATTCTCAAACTTGCCTGTGCTGACACCCATATCAATGAGATCTTGGTCTTATCTGGAGCTGCTTTTGTGTTGGTTGGACCCTTTTCCTCAATTGTGATCTCCTACATGCGAATCATCTGGGTAGTCCTGCATAGCCAGTCAAGAGAGGGGAGACAGAAAGCCTTTTCCACCTGCTCTTCCCATCTCTGTGTAGTAGGACTCTTCTATGGCACTGCCATCATTATGTACATTGGGCCCAAGCATGGGAACCACAAAGAGCAGCAGAAATATCTCCTCCTATTCCATAGCCTATTTAACCCCATGCTGAACCCCCTTATTTATAGTCTGAGGAACAATGAAGTAAAAGGAGCCCTGAAGAGAGTTTTGGGGACAGACAGACCATCATAGAAGACTTGACCACCTATATTAACTACTGATAATCAGTCAAAAATTGTAAATAATGGCTTTTCAGTAGCAAGTTAAAACCAGATCTCATACTACTCAATTGTACAGTAAAGGAGAATCTGTGTAGATACAAATGTGTGTTGCTTTTCATTGTCAGACTGTGTAAATATTTTATGCAAATTATCAAGTTTCCAAAGAGACAATAAAAATGACCTACCAAAATGACTCAAACCAGTCAAATGAGAAGATCCCCCTGATGACAGTAGTATTATTACCTATTGGGCTGCTAAGAAAGGAAGTCATCTGGAGCCATGCACAGACTAGACAAACCAAAGCACAGAGGGACCAAAGTGATAAGGAAATGCCAAGACAATACAGAATAATTTTCCAATGCAAAGTAAACACAAATGCCTTTTGACTCTTCCAGACAAGTAAAGGTGCAAAGAAATAAGTGTTCCTGGAAATCTTTTATCAAAGCTGCAAAATTTCTGCAATTCTCAAAAATTAATGATAAATATAAACTCTGAAGAAAAAAAGTAGAATGAGTTTAATATTATGTTTGTGCCATAGTACATGAAAATTTGTGATTAATAAGTCTTTGACAAGAAGAATTTTATAATTATCCAAATTCTTGCTTCATTCAATCACAGATTATATGTACAACTGTGTCCTTGGTAACATTACTCATATTCATCTTCTCTGTAGCAATATTCAATGTCTGGTTAATGGCTAAGTAAACTCTTTATAGGTCAGGAAAGTTAGTGGCCTCTCTCTGATAGTCTTCAGAGATTTAGGAACCCTTGATGGGGAAGTGACTCTTTGCCTTCTGCAGCATCAGCCCACATGTAGGATTCAGAAAATTATCAATCAGCTTCAGTTATTTCTGGATTCCAGAACAAGAGATGCAGTTTCTGACATCTTTCACTGCTTGCCATTAAGGGTATGTACTATTATGGAGGGAGAAGAAGGGAGGAATTTGATATTTTACAAATATTATCTCATTTGATCTTCACAACCACCCTGTGAGGTAGGTGCTATTATTATCCCCATTTTACAGTTGAGAAAATTGAATATACAGAGTCATGTTGAGGGTCATTACCAAGTTACTGACTAGAGAGGAGTGCTTGCAGTTGCAAGACAGTAGTGGTCTGTTCCTAAGTATGGGTCATATTTCCAGTGTGGAGAGGCGTTGTGGTCATGAGGTGCCAGTAACCAGAATTTTCTCTAGATCACATTTCTTTGGAAGTACTGAAAACTTACAGGCTCCCCAGATTCAGCTGAGAAAACAGCAGGACATAAAAATCAAAAAAACAAAGGCAGACAACCCCCACCCCCAAGAGGTGAGTGGAGCCCAACTCTAACATAAAATCAAAATCAAGCTAGAGGCTAGCAAAGGAGCCAATAACAAATAAGAAAGAACTTGACTATAAAAAAAGCTTCTATGGTCAAGACACAAATTCAGAAGAAGACAATGATTTGAAAACATCTAATAAAAATGGAATAAAGTATAAAACATTGCATTGGACAAACAACTAACCTGGAAAAAAGATGAAAGAGAGATAATTTAAGAATTATTAGACTACATTAGACTACCTAAAGGCCATCTTTAGGGAAAAAAAAAGAGCCTAGACATCATATTTCAGGAAACTATCAAAGAAAACTAGCCAGATATCATGGAACCAGATGGCAAGGCAGAAATTGAAATAATCCATGAATAAACTCCTGAAAGAAATTCCAAAATAAAAATTCCTATGACTATTATATCCAAATTTCAGAGCTCCCAGGTCAAAGAAAAAATACCACAAGGGGCCAGAAAGAAACCATTTAAATGCCATGAAGCCATTTTGTCAGTGGCTTGAGATTTAGCAGGTACCATGATAAAGAAGAGAGGACTTAGAATATGATATCCTGGAAAACAAAGGAGCCAGGATTACAACAAAGAATAACTTAACCAGCAAAACTGAATATAATCTTACCAGGGAAAAATGAACATTTAATGAAATAGAGGACTTTCAAGCTTTCTTGATGAACATAACAGAGCTGAAAAGAAAATCTGACATTCAAGCACAATACTTAAGAGAAACATTAAAAATGAGTGACAGATCTAGAGAGTGGAAGCAAGCATTATAAGGACGAATGGGAAAATAGAGTCAAAAGTGGGAGGTAGCAAAAGCCCATATACAAAATTTAATCAAATAATCAGAAGGCAAAAAACAGTTACAACTGAAAAAGATTAGCCGTGGAAGTATTCAGTAATTTAAAAGAAAACTAAATTAGGAAGACAGACAAAAGAAGCACTGTTGTGTTTAGCTTTATATAAACCAATCCCCAAAGTATGGATAAGAAAGGGAAACAGAACTCTTTCATAGATGTGGGGGATAATCAATTAATGAGTATTAATAACAGTTTGGTAGAATGGGGTTTATTACTGGAGCCCAAAAATATAAAGGTAAACTTTTTTATAAATTGATAAAGAATAAAATGATCAGAAACAGGAGAATAATGTACACAGTAATGACATTGTAAAAGGATACTCTGAAAGCTATAAGAAATATATTCAATACAATGACCATTCATAGTTGCAGAGGACTGATAATGAAACATGCTATGCATGACAGAGAGGTGATTATTTAAGGTACAAAATGTCATATATAATATGTTTGTGTGTATGTATATAGCCATGGAGGGATTTTTTTTTGCTTAATAATACATATTTGTTGCAAAATACATCAATAATACTTTAGAAAGAATATCAGATAAGATGGGAAATGGCACTTTATGTAAAAAAAAAACACCATTACTTTTTTTTTTTTTTTTTAGAGACCAGGGACATGAAAGAGAAAGAATGGAGAGCATAAAAAGAGGAAAGAAAGAAACATTTATTAAGTGACCACTATGTGCCAGTGACTGGGTTGAGAACTTTAAAAATATTATCTTGTTTAATCAACATCCATGGGAGTTAGACATCATTATTAATCCCATTTTATAGTAGAGCAAGCATGGACAAATAGTTGTTTAAGTGCCTTGGCCAAGGTCACACAGTTTCCTAACTTGACACCCAGCTCTCTGCCTTCTGTGTCATCTGTCTAGGTGAGAGAGAAACAAGAATGACAGGGAATTCAGCAACAGAATTTCCAACTAGAAGGAGGAATTGATTGATGAGTTGCATATATGACCAGCAATAAATTTAGCAGAAATGATGAGTACATAGTGTGAAAATGTGTAATCTAAGAATTGATGATAGATAAGGTGGTAAAGTACTATATATTTTAGAAGAACAATTTTCAAAAAGCAATGGAGAAAAGGTAGGTATCATCTACGGCAAAGGCCAAAAAAGATAAGTTGGCTCAACAGCATTGAGATACTTCAAATACATTGATGATATAAATGCAAAATACCCCCAAAATAAAAGAAAATTTCATAAACATTAAGTACTATTTACAGTATTTCATAAATCATATTCATTTATGCAAACCAATTGCTCACATTATTCCTACAAAATTAAAAGGACTTCTCTACTGAATAAAACCTAAATTTCTGTGTTTCTGCTATTCTCAACTGTCTCTCAGGTCCTTCATATCCCCGACTTGCTCAACTTTTAGCACTTCTTACCTGCAATCCCTTCCAAATAGAGTGCCAAGTGAAATCCCTGTTGAAAAACTCAATTTGAATTTGGTGTGTGCTCCATTCTCAGTATTTCTCAAAAACATTTACTTTATTTACCATTGCAGACTGATTCTATGGTCAAAACAGATTCAAAACACTTGGCCAGGCTGGGTTGAGGAAAGAATGACAGGGGAATGACTAAAAATACTGATTAAGTTTCTTTTTTAAGTCTTTGCTGAGCACATATTTCAAAAGACCAGGTACAAAAGGTGGAGTGGTGGGCATTCAAATAATAATGCAAAAGGGCTACAGTTCACGTGCTCTGGTTCTCTCTGCCACAACCAAGGAAGCTGCATCTGCCCTTCTGGGTGCTAACTTGTCCCAATGGTTTTGTGGTGTGTCTCTTCTCTAATGCTAGCAGCTCACACCCCTACTCACTCTGTTCCCCCTCTGTTAAGCACCAGTGAACTCAGTTCCATTTTACCATTTAACATCAATTACCTTTTACAAAAAGTTATTTCCTTCAAAGATATAGCATTGACAAAAGTACAAACATTTTCCCCCAGTAGCTCAGGGTGTATTCTCTTCCCATCCATCCTCAGTCTCTGGAAAGAGTGTTCAAGCTTAGCTCAGTTTCTACCTAGCACTGACCCAACCAAATTCATGTCCAAAGTCATCATCACTGTCAAATTAGACTTTGTCTTAGCTACTGTTGGGCCATTAAATGAACCAGAAAACAATACATGCCTTGCAGTCTTTCCAGTGTAATTCCATTATACATTATTGTGACTGTTCCAAAAGCAGATTCTCCTGCCTCCCCCATATGGGGAATTTGCATCAGACAAACACAATGATTCATGCATTCAGTGCATGTGCCAACAATTAAAGCTCAGAATAAGCTGAGGTTTGCAGTAAATGCTAAAGACTGCAAAGCTTTGATGGGGGGTGGAGGAAGGAAAAAATAGTGGCTCCAAAAATGAAAATACTTAACTCTCATTCTCTTGGGATTTTTCCTGTATCAAGGAATATAATTTTCAAACTGGAAAGTGAAGAACAAAAAATAAATAGTTAAGAGATACTAGTTGATGAGATACTAATGTGACATTTAGCAATTTTAATGACTTCTTATCTCTTAGTTTCTAATTTATATTTTAGAGTACAGATTTTACATGTGTCCAAAAGAGAAAAAATAAACAATCTCTAGGTTCCCTTTAGAATTTAGTGTTTTATCACTTCATTTAATGAACATCGAGGAGAGAAATTTGAGGGAGATTAGACAATGGGAGATGTGTCATGAAACTGAAACTTGGGCCTTTTTGCCTTGATTTTCAGAAGACACAAGGCGCTTTCTGCAAACTATTAGCTAATTCTCAGAAAACTTACACTTTACTAAAAAT